AAGAATTCTTTCCTAGAAAGGACATTTTTCAGTTAATAAAACATCAGTGGATGTTTCTGTGGAGACTGCTTTGAAGATTTGGTTAAACAGGAAATATATCACCAAAAACACAACATTCTAGGTGCAGATTTTACCTCTCCTGTGTAAAATAGGCCTAGTTATTTCCTTGGAGGGTTGTTTTAATGATTAGAAATAGTATGCATAAAGCATCTGGCGCATGGGCACTGAGTAAAGGGTAGAAGTCATCAATACTGTCTACATTTTATATGGATTCTTCCTCCTGAGTTGGGGGTGTGCTATGGTGCATTGATTCGGTGAGATGCTTTTAAATTAAGAAGGTGGCTGCAGCATTTTCTATAAGCGGTGACCACACGAAGCCAGCCAGGCCGAGGCAGGCTTCATGAAGACTCAGCCTGACACAGTCACTGACGAGAAGCAAGGTTTTTAGTTTTGCTTTGCTGAGAAGGTGGTGCTGATTGCTTTCTTCCATTGGGAAATCAATTTACTGTGCAGCGAATCTTAGTAAGCAGTTTCATACTATTGCTTTTCTAAAAAAAGAGACATGTTTCTGTTTTTATTAATCATGAAACTGACAGAAGATGGTAGAATTTGTAAAAGAAAATAACCTGTTTGCTCTCCTTTTTACCACACGTACTGTTTTCTAGAAATTAAGAATAAAGAAGGGATTTTTATCTTCCAGTCTTGAAACTATACCCTCTTCTGGTTTGAAACAAACAGCCTCATGTCCTTGGAGACCTGCCATATATGAATTTCTGGAATAAAAGGAATTTTCAGAGATGTTTGTCTGCTGTCATTTTGAAGGCAAAGTAACAGAGCCTTGGTTCCAGGAGATGCCCAAAATAGCTGGGCATGTAATTTTGGGGCTAGATGTTTCCTGATCACAAGCTTGAAAACGTGTCCTCCTTGGAGTTGAATTCAAGATCAAGTACCATTGGTGTGGAGAATGAGAGGGTTTTATGCTATGGTTTTCTGACATATACAGCGCAGCTAATTTGTGTGTGTGTGTGAGTGTGGTGGAGTCTCACTCTGTTGCCCAGGCTGGAGGGCAGTGGTGCTCACTGCAACCTCTGCCTCCCAAGTTCAAACAATTCTCCTGGCTCAGCCTCCCAAGTAGCTGAGACTATAGGTGTGCACCACCACACCTGGCTAATTTTTGTAATTTTAGTAGAGACAGGGTTCACCATGTTGGCCAGGCTGGTCTTGAACTCCTGACCTCAAGTGACCCCCCAGCCTCGGCCTCCCAAAGTTCTGGGATTACAGGCGTGAGCCACTGTCCCTGGCTGCAGCTCACTTTTAATTAGTAAGATACGATTTAAACAATAGCAACCACAACAACATGAAGCAGGTTGGGTGAAAAGAGAATTTGATAATCTGTTTTATAAAATAGCCCTCTGCACAGTTTCCTTAAAGAGAAGTCGTTCTTCATCCTTTTGCAATAGGTTTCATCACCCTATTTTATTTTTACATACAACACCGGTTATGTAAAGTTAAGGGCGGCCTCATGATGGGCCAGCAGTTACCTCCATGCAGGTAGGAAGCAGCGTAATTCTGGCCCATTTTTTGCCTCTGCTGAGTATTCTACACCAATAACCAAGCAGCCTCTGGGGGGCAGCAGAACACTGGATAAGACCACTGTGCCCTGGGCTGTCAGGCTTTTCTGACTTGTCATCCAGCCCCTCCTTTGTGTCCTTGGCGCAGAACCCAAGCTTCTCTTTGCCTACCAAAACTCATCCTCTTGGCCTTGCCAGAATGAGAGGCTTCGCCCTTCAGCCTCCTTTGCCCCACTGTTTTCGCTCACACCCTTCTCCCTTGCACTCTGAAACCTTCCTAGTCTACTTTGTACCATGTCACATAGCTTAATGATGGGACTTGTTTGCTATTGTTTCACAAGCAGGTATGCCCATCCTTATAGCAAGAACAAAGTCATGTCTGTTTCCCATAGTGCCAGGAATTCCCTGAAGGCCTAAAGACATGCTCAACAGCAGGTGGAAGATTCCGTAATCTGTATTGAGTGCTTGATGCCTATTTGCTAACTTGATTGTCAAGATGGTCCTGTTTTTGCACAAATGAAAGAATTGGCTTTGCTTTACTTATTTCTGAAACTGCTACATTCTCACATACCTTCCAGTTTAATAGTTCCTGATTGGGGTGAAATATAGAGGACTTTAAAAATTAGCCCACGGATGTAATGGAAGCAGTAAGTTGGGTGTACAGTTGCAGATTTGCTTCTTGGTCTTTCTCCTCCCCAACTGTGTACCTTGGGCAAATTAATTTCTCAACCTCAGTTTCCTCACCCATAAAATGGGATTATGTAAGGTGATCAAATAATTTATTATCCAAACTGGAAACTGGAGCATATTTGAGAGTGGAGGATGTCAAAGAAAAACCAGATATAGGTAGTAGTTGAAGCAGTAAAAAAATTTATTTGGGAACTATTGTAATAGGGGAAAAGAGACCTCAGTATGGAACTGGACTCAATTTTTTTTTTTTGACAGAGTCTTGCTGTGTCACCCAGGCTTGAGTGCAGTGGCGTGTTTTCAGCTCACTGCAACCTTCACCACCTCCTCCCAGGTTCCAGAGATTCTTCTGCCTCAGCCTTCCAAGTAGCTGGGAGTACAGGCCCACACCACGATGCCTGGCTGATTTTTGTGTTTTTGGTTGAGACAGGATTTTGCCGTGTAGCCAGGCTGGTCTCAAACTCCTCACCTCAGGTGATCCACCCGCCTCAGCCTCCCTAAGTGCTGGGATTACATGCAAGAGTCACTGCACCCAGCCAGAACTGGGCTCAATTCTGAATACAGCTTGGACAAGGGGGATATAGCCAAGGAGCAAGGTGGAGGTCATTGAGTAGACTACTATTAAGAGGAAACGTTGGGAAATAGGGGGATTCTGGCTAAACAGACTTAATAGGATTCCTCCTGAAGGCAGCCAGGGTGATCAGACACCAAGAGTAGGTGATGAAGAATTTGGCCAGATATTGGAGCATGATCAGATACTGCAGGTGGGGGGTTCGTTCTAAACCGACTTAGCAGTATTCTTGCTACAATAAAGATGGACACCAAGGTCGAGGCCTAGAGAGCTTAGAGGAGCTTGACTAAAGTTTAGTCAAGGAGAGAGTCTTTGTCCAGTGGCATAGTTTGAAGTAATTACAATGGTATAGTCTTTTAAAAGATTTATTGCCTGATAAGTTGCTTTTGTTTTTAGCTTGCCTACCTATACAGTTCTATTAAGCCAGGTGTGGTGGCTCACGCCTGTAATCCTTGCACTTCGGGAGGCTAAGGCAGGAGGATCTCTTGAGGCTAGGAGTTTAAGACCAGCCTACGCAACTTTTATCATCTCTACAAAAAAAAAATTTAAATTATCTGGGTGTGGTGGTGCATGCCTGTAGTCCCAGCTACTTGGGAGACTGAAGTGGGAGCATTGTCTGAGTTCAGGAGCTTGAGGTTGTGGTAAGCTAAGATTGCACCACTCCACTCCTGCCTGGGTAACATCTAGAGATGCTATCTCTAAAAATAAAATAGTCCTGTTGAAAACATTTTGACTAGAACAATTTCCTCTCCGAAAACAATTTTATTTCCTCCTCAAAAACAAGTTTGATCGCCTCCCCCAAATTAAAATGGTATATAAACAGGACAAATGCTAAGTTGTTTAAAATGCTGGGGCAGTGGGTATAAACCATACATATGGTGCTTTAAAGAATCAAACAAAGTAGTATATGTAAAGTGTCTAGTACTTGGAACATACTGTGTATTCAGAAAAGGATTTTCTCCTTTTCCCTCCTGGAGGAAGGTTGGACAAAGAAGCACTGATCAGCAATAAACAAAGGCCTACGGGTTTTTTAAAAAGGCTATTGCAAAAAGCTCCTAGCTTTCCAGGTCCTAACAGCCTAAGGTGTGAGTTTTGTCCAACTCAAGCAGGAAAATACTGACTGAAGAACATAGTCCTGTCTCTCTGTACTCAGGCAGCTGTCTCGGCAATAGAGAACATACCCAGGGGACGGCTGTGCATTTTGTCTGGTACTTTGGCTGCCCTGTGAGCACAGAGCCCTTTTCTTTGTTGTGAATTCACGACTGCTTCTGGGCAACCTGCCTAGAAAGCTGGGGAACCGTCTCTGGCACCCATCTGCTGCACCCAGCTCCTGCCTGTTTAGGAACGTGATCTTACCAACTGCATTTAAATAATGGGTTTACCATAAACTTAATAGTCTGAGTTGTAAAATCCGCACCTGCTGTATTAGTCCATTTTCATACTGCTATGAAGAAATACTCAAGATTAGGTAATTTATAAAGAAAAAACAGTTTAATGGACTCACAGTTCCACATGGCTGGGGAGGCCTCATAATCATGGCGGAAGGCAAAAGAGGAGCAAAGGCACATCTTATATGGTGCCAGGCAAGAGAGCCTGTGCAGGGGAACTGCCCTTTGTACAACCATCAGATCTCATGTGAGACTTATTCACTATCACGAGAACAGCATAGGAAAAACCCACTCCCATGATTCAATTACCTCGCACTGGGTCCCTCCCATGACACATGGGGATTTTGGGAGCTACAATTCAAGATGAGATTTGGGTGGGGTCGCAGCCAAACCATATCACCTGCCTTGAAGGTTGCTGGTCCCGTGTAGCCAGAAGCCTAACTGCCATTCTGTGATTGGATTTCCAGGGTTGGGCCCGGGCCCACCCCTTTCAGAAACTCTAAATTCATGACTTCTTGCCCTGCCTCTTGTAAGTGCTATTTTGCTCTAGTAATGAGAGCTCTTGAGCCTGTGTGTTCATTTAACCTAACACCCTGCAGAGCTGAGGCTTGGATTTTTGCCAACTCCTTGTGGGATGGAGAATCCAAGGAATCTGGCCTCCTGGAAGCGAGGAAGGATCTGCATATGTGAACAGCAGTGTGCGACAGGAGAGTCAAGCCAGGGAGCAGGCAGAGTTGCAGGGCAGCCCTCTGCATGGCTCCTAACAGCCTCTTCTTTCTCTAGGTATGTGTACATTCCAGTGGGCGGGTCCCAGCATGGCCTGCTGGGGACACTGTTTTCCACGGCGATGACATTTGCATTTGTGAGCTACTGGCATGGCGGCTACGACTACCTCTGGTGCTGGGCAGCGCTCAACTGGCTGGGAGTCACCGTGGAGAATGGAGTGTGGAGGCTGGTGGAGATTCCCTGCATCCAGGACAGTCTGGTGAGCAGGGTCCTTGCTCCTGTGTTAGGGGACAGCTGAGCTACGCAGATTAGGTCTGGGAGGGATGGGGCCATCAGATTCCCTGCCCTCACCGTGGGCCCTTTCTGCTAGGTTGGTTCAAAGTCCATATGCCTAAAGACAAGACAGCTGGAAAAGAAGCTGCTGTAGTGCATATGTGTGTTTGTGTGTGTGTGTGTGCGTATATATGTTATAACTATAAAAAATGTATTATGTAAAAATTAGAAAATTTAAACAAGAAAAAAACCTCCCTTCAACAGAAACCATGTTAAGATCCATTCTTCTAAATTTTTTCTATGTGTTTATACAAACAGACATATGTATGTAACATTAAAACAAATGCTATTACAGAGAGATGATTGTATCCAGACCACCTTTTTAAGTCACTGAGTCCATACCTAACCACCCTTTTTAATGGCTACATAGAATTCCCTTATGTGGATATGCCATAATTTATTTTAGTCTCCTATTATTAGTAATCATATTATTCTAAAGGTTTTTTGCAGCTGTCAGCTGTATTAAAATGAATATCATAACCAGGATGAATTCTCATAAGTGAAATTTCCAGGTTCAAGGTTTTTCTCTTCTTTAATGTTCCTTATGTATATTGCCTATTAACTCTTAACTGCCCTGTAGACAAAAGTACACTGGTTTATGTTTCTACCAATGGTGCATAAGAATGACCTTGCTAATATTGAGTATAACTGGAATTTTAAATCCTGATGGGTGTTGTATATAGTAGTATAAAAAACAACTAAGGTTTTAAGAAACAGTTCAACTTTACAGGAAAGTGATTTGAAAAATCAATTAAGCATTTCTCTTTACACATATATTTTAAGTGATTTTAAACTATGGGCATAGCTTTTATCTTGCAAATGTGGTATATGATATATTACAATCTTGTCGGAAATCATTAGTTCTGAAGATGCAGCAATATCCCTCTAACCCCAAAAAAAGTAGCTAAAAAGAAATGTGCTGGCATCGGTGTTCATGGCAGGCAATCACACACAGAAAATTTGAAAAATGATTAATGTGGCTAAATTCCACCAATATGAATAACTAAAGCAAATGCACTTTAAAAAACCCTGTCAAAACAGAATACATTTACATATGTTTTTATAAAGATAGCCATAGTACAAGTGGACAGTTATTTCAATAAAAACTGAAATAAACTGAGTAGTCAAACAACACATTGGAGGGGATTTAAATATGCTCATGTATGTATAAAGATAAATATTTTTCCAGCCATCAGCAGGAAGGAAATGCCAGTGGATTCTAATAGAAGATGGTATTTCAGTGAAAGCCATGGCTATGTAACACACAGGAAAACGAAAAAGGATGGTATCATAAAGATTTTAATCTTCCCTCAAATCTGAGCATTCTGCTCCAAAGCCTGAAAACACAGTTATCACCTTTGAAAGACAGAAGGTTCTTTTCAGCCCTGTCTGTAGCCCTGTAACTCATTTCTGTGCTGTTTCATGAAGCAGCTAACATTAACCTTGAACTTAATGTTAAGCAGTGCTCTGTGGCCTTTGAGCCATAGCTTATGCTAGTAATAATTTTAGAAATCTAAAACGTTGGAGTAACCCAACTGTGCCATGTAGCCTGTGGCCTGTTCATTTTGGTTCAAAATAAATCAAGGCATCAGGCACATTTACTCACAGGATGAAGCTCTTGCCTGTCTACCTTGCTCCATCACAGCTTGCTTCAGGACTCACTCATTCACCTCACTTGACCTTCCATCTATAATTCAGGTACCTTGGTACATAGTAATTTTTGATATGCATTTTCTTGGCAAAATATTTGTCTTATATGTTGCAAATGTGATGTTTGGCTTGCATCTTTATTGAGCAAGAATATATTTTATGAAACCTATTTTTATCACCTACAAGCCTGGTAGGAGGTGACGGCTATTTAGACAATGTACTCCTTGAGTACATGGCCAGGTTCCCATTACTCTGTTTATCCCCATTGTCTGAGTGAGCCTCAGTGTTAAGTCAGTGTACAATTAGTGCTTTCATATCAGATCGATTCTTCAGTTCTTCCTCCACTTGTCCAGACATAGAGTCTTCCTCCAGTACCCTGTTTCTTGTGTAGTTCCACACAACATCCAAATGCACACAAATTTTTGAGGAAACTATTTCCCCACTTAGTTTACCCTTCTTCCCTCTCTTTCCATGAATCAGTTTCCTGTTCTTCTGTCAAAATCCAAATAAAGACTTACTGCCTCTGTGAGTTCATTCTGCATGCCCCTCACATCCTCAGTATTATTCAGAGTTCTCCAGAGAAACAGATCAATAGGGTGTGTGTGTGTTTGGGTGGGCGGGTGGGGGTGGGGTGCGGTAGGGATGATGGTAAAGAAATTTAGTGTACAGAATTAGACCGTATGATTTTGTAGGCTGAGAAATTCAGACCCAGGAGAGCTAATGGAGCAAGACTCAGTCCAAAAAAAAAAAAAAAAAAAAAGAAAAAAAAAAAAAAAAAAAAGGCAAGAGAAGACCAGTGTCCTAGCTCAAAGACAGGCTTGAAGACAGAAAAAAATACTGTCTTAGCTTTCTGTTCTATTTAGAACTTCAACAGATTGGATGAGGCCCACTCACATTGGGGAAGGAAATCTGCTTTCTTCAGTCTACTGATTCAAATGTTAATCTCATCCAGAAACACCTTTACCAGAACACCCATGAATAATATTTAAGTGAATATTTGGGCCCATTCAGGTTTACAAATAAAATTAACTATCACACCCTTTCTTCATGGTGTATATCCTTCATCTGTTTTATTAAGATAGAGTAGCAGATGTCTACATAAAAAAAACCTATTTTTTCTTTGTCATATCGTCTTTTCAAAAAATGTTTGCAGGTACATAGTAGGTGTTTGTATTTATGGGGTACCTGAGATATTTTGATACAAGCATGCAATGTGTAATTATCACATGGTGGTAAATAGGGTATCCATCATCTCAAGCATTTATGCTTTCTTTGCATTACAACCAATCCAATTATACTCTTCCAGTCAGTTTTAAATATATAATAATTGTTGACTGCAGTCACCTTGTTGTGCTACCAAATACTATGACTTATTAATTCTATATAACTATATTTTTATGCTCATTAACCATCCTTCCACCCAACTACCCTTCCAGGCCTCTGGTCATCATCCTTTTACTCTCTGTCTCCACAAGTTCAGTTGTTTTAATTTTTAACTCCCACAAACAAGTGAGAACATGTGAAGTTTGTCTTTCTGTGCCTGGTTTATTTTCCTTAATTACTTCCAGTTCCATCCGTGTTGTTGCAAAGGATAGGCCCTCATTCTTTTTTATGGCTGAATGATACGCCATTGGGTATATGTACCACATTGTCTTTATTTGTCTGTTGATGGACACTTAGATTGCTTCCAAATCTTGGCTATTGTGAATAGTACTACAGTAAACACGGGAGTGCAAATATCTCTTTAATTTACTGATTTCCTTTCTTTTGAGTATATCCCAAACCATAGGACTGCTGAATCATATGATAATTCTGTTTTTAGTTTTTTGAGGAACCTGCGAACTGTTTTCCATAGTGGTTGTATTAATTTACATTCCCACCAACAGTGCACAATGATGCCCTTTTCTCCACATCCTTACCAGCATTCATTATTGTCTGTCTTTTAGATAAAGCCATTTTAACTGGGGACAGATAATATCGTATTGTAGTTTTGACTTGAATTTTTCTGACTTTAATGTTGAGTGCTTTTTCATATACCTGTTTTTTTCCTTTAGCACTGTATGTCTTCTACCCTCCCCTGAATTGTAAGGTTTCCATTGGAAAATCTTCTGCCAGATGTATTGGAGCTCCGATGTATGTTATTTATTTCTTTGCTCTCGTTGCTTTTCAGATTCTTTCTTTATCCTTGACTTTGGGAGTTTGATTATCTTGAGGTAGTCTTATTTGGGTTAAATCTATTTGATGTTCAGTAACCTTCTTGTTCTTGAATACTGGTGTCATTCTCTAGTTTGGGAAGTTCTCTGATATTATCTCTTTGGATAAATGTTCTACCCCTGTCTTTTCCTCTCTTTACTTCCCTTTTAAGGCCATTAACTCTTAGATTTGCCTCTTTGAAGCTATTTTCTAGATCTTATAGGCATGCTTCATTCTCTTATTTTCTTTTTTATCCCCTCTGACTGTATTTTCTTATAGCTCATCTTCAAGTGTGCTAATTCTTTCTTCTGCTTGATCAATTCTGCTAAGAGACTCTGAGGCATTTTCCAGTGTGTCAGTTGCATTTTTCTTCTCCAGAATTCCTGCTTGATTCTTTGTAATTATTTCAGTGTCTGTTAAATTTATGTGATAGGGTTCTGAATTCCTTCTCTGTTTTGTCTTGAACTTCGTTTAGTTTCCTCAAAGCAGCTATTTTGAATTCTCTACCTGAAAGGTCACATATCTTTGTGTCTCAGCAATTTGTTCCTGGTGCCTTCTTTAGTTCATTCAGTGAGGTCATATTTTCATGGATGGTCGTCATGCTTGTGCATGGTACATTAGTATTTGGGCATTGAAGAGTTAGGTGTTTGTTGTAGTCTTCACAGTTTGGGCTTCTTTGTACCTATGCTTCTTGGGAAGACTTTCCAGGTATTTGAAGGGACTTGGGCATTGTGATCTAAGTTTTTGGTTGCTCTAACTGTATTTGCATTATGGGGCACCCCATGTCCAGTAATGCTGTGAGTCTTGCAGACTCATAGAAGTACCACCTTGGTTATCTTAGAGAAGATCCAGAAGAATTATCTGGATTGCCAGGAAAAGACTCTTGTTCTCTTCCCTTACTTTCTCCCGAACAAATGGAGTCTGTGTGCTAAACTGGCTAGAGCTAGAGGTGGAGTGACACAAAAACTCCTGCGGGCCACCACCACTGGGACTGCACTGGGTCAGACCTGAAGTCAGCACAGTACTGGGTCTTGCCCATGACCTACAGTAACTACTGCCTGGCTACCACCTATGTTTGCTCAA